AGTCCCCAGGGGCCTCTGCTCTGCTTCAGGCTAGGGGACAGTGATTGCCCAGCAGAGTGAGGAGTCCCACTGCCCTCCCTCCCTGCAGCACAGGCATCCGCACCCAAAGGCACCGTTTCCCTTTTCCCTGGCCTGGGCTACCACTTCACACCTGCTGCAGCTCTCATTTTGCACTTGGTCTTTTCCTACACTCTGGAGTAGAACACATTGTCAGAAGGGGTTTTTTTCTTCCCATTTGTCTCCTGAGGACTTTGTCTTGTGATTGGGTCTCAGCAACAGAGGAGCCAGTCTAAGGTCTGAAACGGGCTTCTCCCCAACCATTTGCCATGGCTTGTTGCACCTCCCCATTTTATTGATGCCCAAGTTCTTGCAGCATGGGCCCTATCTGGCTACAGGGCTTGAACACGGGGGGATGCTGCCGGTCTGATTCGGCTGCAGTAACCGAGGTGTTTTTGGTGGGACATCAGTTGTACCATTCCCCCAGGGGATGAGGGCTGACTGGGTCCTAGCTTGCTCTGGTCCTTAGGCTCACTCATTTTCTCAAAGAGGATAAAACTACTATTGAAAGGATAGAAAGGTGTAAAGAGAAAAGATAAATAGAAAATGGAACAGGAACAGAACATGTGCGTAAGTCAGCTTTTTCAATGCATAATAAAAAGCATTTATATGAGATTAAATTCAAGCCTTGTGTAAGTGAAAGAGAGATGTTGTAACTTGCTTTCTGTAAGAGATGGAATTTTATCTAAGCAGCTTCACATTTTCTAAAAAAAAAAAATTAAAATGCACAAATGTTGACATCTCCAAACCCACCTCTTCTATAATTTCTTTAGGAATCTGATGGCTTCTTACATGCCAAACAGTTTGCTTTCATTTTGAATTCACCAGTTGTTGACTTGCTTCCTTTCTATGGTTGTTTTATTTTGTTGCTTTGCCCTTCAACTGCCCTTCCCTACCATTTTTTTATTATATTTGCTCCAATACAGAGAGCTTCAACACTGTTTGGTATTCTTCCTTGTAAAAATAAAGTGCAAAACAAGGCACATTAAAATATTAATAATCTATTGTCACACTTTTAAAAGATTGCATTTTTGAGGATAAAAACAGGCACAAGCATGAAATAAGAGGTAAAAGAGGAAAATTTAAAACATCAACAACTTATCATGTTGAAACAAATCTTTCTTAACTATGTGTATTGTGAAATATGTTCATGTAGACCTAATAATTTCCGTGTGAGAATTTGGGAAATATTTCCACTTCTCTTTCTTCCCCTAGTCTAAAAGTTAGTATGTTTTTCAGCCTTTCATCACTACCAAGCACTTACTCCTCCCTAATCTTTTCCCTATCTATTTCTGTATTTTTTGCGTATTATCTACCTGAGATCTTGTGCTAGCTTCCTTCTTCTCTTTAGTATTTCATAAATCAGGATACAAATTCAAAGGAAAAAGTGGTGTTTTTTCCTCTGTGCACTTAAATTGAACTATCTTCTTCCACAGGTTGGAAGGACTCATTGGCAGACACACATAACCTAGCTGTACTTAATCTCCTCCTTTCTGTCACCCCATTTCATTCAGAAAATAAAAAAGTAATACAGAAGCACTATTTAACCCTATCATCACAGCTAGATGAAGCAGTCCTCCCTTGTTTCCCTGTTCCTATGTTACGTGACTCGCTTCTTAAGCCAGACACTGTCTCTTTGGTACCTTTTACTTTTCCATTCATTAATGTGCATCCCCATACACATGTAATTTCACACTCAGTTTTCTGTACTCTTATGATCCAGAGGTCAGTGTGTGATAAACTATTCCTTAAAAAGTGACAGAAGAGTAAAGGCTCAGATAAGTTGTTAGTCCAGAAACGGAAGAGACTGAGAAGAATATAATGAATTTTATATACATAAAAGTTAGTTGCAATGAGGAATGGAGATCTTTTTGATTGTTGTGAATAGGACAAGTAATAGTGTGTTTAACTTTGCAGCAATAGAGCTTAGAAACACTTTTTTTGTTGTTACGGTTGTGAGGCACTGGAATAAACTGACTTTTAAAAGCATGGAGTCTCCAAAAAGGGACTTGCAAGCACTGGTTGGAAAGCCATTTCCCAGGACTAGCATGTGTGTGATTGATCCTGCTGTGAGACAGATGTGGGTTAGCTCCCTTTCAACCTTGCTTTCTGTCATTCTTCAGCACTTTGTTGCAAGCAAATAAACTTGTGAGCTAAAGGAAGCAATGTCATATATGAGAAGTGACACACAGCAAAATACACTATTTGCATCAACTACTGCTAAGGAAACCTTGTTGGATTTATTCCTATCCAGGAACAAAGATGAGGTGCTATGAGAGACAGTCAAAAGAAATGTCCAAAGCGTCAGAAGAAGAGATAAAGGGAGAATCAGTGATACCAAATTAATTATGTAAATTGGTGACCATATAATTCAATAATAGTCTATGCTTATTATGTGTGGTTTTAGTGTATTTTAGTGTGTTTAACCTATGTTTAGTATGTTAGAAGACTTCAGGAGACATATTTTCATGGAGTAAATGAACTACAGGATCTCTTCCTTAGAAATATCCTGTTGTTGGTAGGAGGCTAAATGACTTTCATTTACTAAATCAATACCGAAGTTCCCATATTTCTCTGTATGCTGTCCTTTAGGGATTAGGAATACTCAGTATATGCTCATATCAATAGACATATTGGATGAACTGAATATGTTCTGCAATCTGTTTCATATAGTAGCTCTGATAACCTGATCTAATGGTCCTTCCTGAGCTTTGAATATATGTGAAGCATATGGCTTTGCTAAGAAAATGAGGTTAAATGGTAGATCTTTATAAAGCATGAAAGCAGAGTGTGGTGGGGCTAAGCTACTGTCAGAAAAGTTACTCTTTTCTTTAAGATAACCTGTCCCCTTTTCACAAAGACCTGGGGTTTCCCATAGCACATACAAGGTGTAGATTGGAGTTTTTCAAGAGGAGAATTAGATAATTCTGTCTATGTGACTGCAAGCCAAGGCAGTGCTCAGGGCCTTGTCCTTTAACTTGTACTATCACTGTAACAGAATAAAGAGCTGATCTAGTTCAAGTCTTTGACAGTAATCATGTGTGAGTAGTTTGGCCAAGATCTGATATTGCACTTGCAGTCTGGTCACATGGAGAGAAATATGGAGGTCTTTTCATTGCTTACATCTTGCCTGTGCAACAGAAAGACAGCTCAGTTGGTACTGAACAAATGCCATGATCTAAGGATTTACCCAAAACAAGAGCACAAGACAAACATCTTGTTTCGGACACTGTGATGTTTTGGAAATTTTTTCAGCCTCTGGAGTTACTGAAGTCAGTGGAAGCCCTGCCACAAATTGCAGTGGTCAGGCTCTATTCAAGGTCCATCCACTTGGCACCAGCCTTGCTGAAATCTTCTGTGTCATTCCTATGGGGACGTTGGTTGAGGTGCTCTAGGAGGAGCCCCTTGGAGCCAGCTCCAGTTATCTCATCTCTTTCATGGTCCAAAACTAAATGGCCTCATTGCTGCTTCTCTCTTATTAGGAACTTAAAGACATCATTGGATAAAGCAATGGCAAAGTTATGTCAGAGAGCTCCATTTTGCAGTCTCTCACAAAGACATCCAGGCAGTTTGTCTGGATGGTGGCTCTGGCTTCCTGCATGCCCTTTCAGCCAGAGAAGTGTCTGCTCTGTCTGAAATGCAACAGGATAAAGAGGACAGAAATAAGTAATACATTTATCCTGTTATTGCAGGGACAGAACTTAAGTGACCACAGCTTCAACTGGAAACTCACTTTTGAACCCATCAGTTGGCATAACCATGGGAATTGCTTGTCATTTTAATGACATCTTTGCAGCACGCCTGGTGAACCAGAGGGTTAACCCAGCTTTGCTTTTCAGAAGGAAACTGCAGCACCCTGGTTCACCCACCTCTCAGGTGCCTGAGTGGGTTTCCCACGGCTCTGCCAGCCTCCCTGGCCCAGGCACCCCCGGCGGGGCGGTGGGAGGCGGGGGATGCCCTTTGAGGCTGCAGCGGTGCTGTCGGCATGAAGCAGGGCTGCTCCCCTGCGTCCTGCCAGTGCCGCACAGGGTGGGGGGAGCAGCCCAACGCCTCTCCCTGCTGTACTGCTGGGGGCTTTTTCCTGTTCCTTGCAAAGCTCCCCTGTGGGGAAGCTGATGGGATCCTGGGGAGGGTGAGCGAGCCCTGGGAGGAGGAGGGAGGCAGGGGACACCGCAGCGTCTCCCTGCTGCTGTTGTCGAAGCTGTGCCGGAGCCGGAGCCGGAGCTGTCGATGTAGCTCCCCAGAGTTAGTTGCTCAGCAACCAGAATCAATTAATATGCTTTGCAGAAAGTGCAGGGGAAGCCCGAGCTGCTGTCAGTGAGAAGGCAAGAGGCTGAGGGTGACTCAGGATCCCACTCCTGCCTGGCACCCGTTCGGTCCCACCCAATCCAAACCCCTCGTTAGCCACTGTTCTTTATCCCTTTCTTCTTCCCTATGATGTCTTAGTGCATGTGTCCCCAGATTCTTTGGGCAGGGTATCTCCTTTTTCAAGAATTCTCCTGCTTTGAAGGTTTTGATTTTAGATGTAATTTGTGGTTTTGGGTTATTTTTCAAGCTTTCTCCATCACTTTTCTAGGAATTCTACTATTCATGTTCTTTGGGAAGGGAAAGGGACAGCTGATGGTTTTGTCAGATGGTTTTAAAGATTCATCAGGATGAGAAGGGTTGTTTGGTAGTGCACAGTTGAGCAGCAGTAATGAAAATGCATCATGTGTGAATTGGGAAAGTTTTTGTCTCTTCCTTTATTACAGGTAATCAGCACTGCATATATGAGACCAAAGAGGTAGTACTGGTTGTTCTGAAACACAGATAATAGAATAAATGAAGGGTTGTTGGGTTTTTTTCTTCTCCTTTTCTGCATAGCAATTTCGGAGCTTCGGTAAGGTGTTTTTCTTCTTTCTTTCTTTCTTTCTTTCTTTCTTCCTTTCTTTGATTTTCTTTGGAGTTCTTCTGATGACACCACGAATCTGGGAATGAAGAACTTCTTAGAGCTGATTGGAAATGGCATTGCAGAGCTGAAACTTAACTGGAGGAAATATATATCCTGAAGAAGAAAATATAATGCACTGTAAGGATCTGACTTCTGGTGAAAAATTCAAGCCTAGAGAAAACTTGTCTGCTTTGTTAGGAAGAATGGGTTGGACAATTTTCTACAATTCCAAAGGATATCTGAATGCCATGCTGAGCTTAATCTCTGCAGCATGCTCTGTGCTTCTCATCTCTTCCTGATGCACTGCATGGTAAGGCCTTTTTCCTTCCTTTTAATAATAACCATATTTCTGTTACAGCGAGAAGTAAAAATAATAGCAATAATCAAATGAAAATTGAAAAAAATGTGGAAAGCTAACAAAAGAACGTTTGTTTGTGTGGTTGTTTCCAGGAGCAGGTGTCCTGATTACTGCAGCAGCTTTGTAAGATCGTTTCTGTCTTTCTCCCTTGATTTGTGACAGTGTGTATGTGCGTGTGTGTTTGTGCACACCTGTGCTGTTGTTTGTACTTGGACAGGAACATCAGTAGCTGTACTGTACATATCTCCGTGCTAAAGAGGATGTTTAAGAATTTGCTTTGACATTTCTCTCTCTTTTTCTCTTGCTCCATTCCACTTCTCCTGCCTCCTCTTTCTCTCGCTCTGTTTGCCTCTCTGGGGTCATGCTACTATACCTTCCCTTCACCTCAGTCATGCACTGACCACTAGAAGGCAAAAATAGGAGGTAAAAGAAATCCTGTATAAATGTAAGAATCGTTCTGAATAAGTATTATCTGAGTAAATAAAAGCTGCAGAAGGGGTTTGAATGCCTGCAAGATCTGCAGGTACAAAGATTTTATTTTGTTTCCCATGGGAAACAAATATCAAATGCAGACTTGGATACTGTGTTTTAGATACAGGGGGAGGCAGATTCTTTTACACACGTCAGAAAGCCAAAAAATGACACTGTGAATTAAGAAAATGTTGCTCTCGATGACCCAAGTCATAAAATAAGCAAACCCAGTACGAGATGTTCTCGTGTCAAGTAATTTTTGTCATGTATTAGCAGAGTGTTGAGAATCATTATAAATAGTTTCAGCGGATGTTGCGAGATATTTCTCATTAACAGCTGTAATGTGTTTTCATCTCCCTGGATGAAAGGTGCTAGGGGAGTGCAAGGTGATGTTATTAACTAACGACCTGACTTACCAAAATTTAGGGTCATTATCAGGAAATTGCCAAGCAGATCAGGAATTATATTGTGAGAGTACTGAGATGGAAGAACAGGTTAGCTCTTCAGAAAGCCTGGTTTACTTGGATCTCCATTTCAGAAATTAGGGTAGAACTAAAAGATGAGAATGGTGATGCTAAATATAAATATTTTCTTATGCATTCTGGTTGATCACTGAGTTTCAAAGAGGGAAAGTTGAGTGCCTCTTGAGGAACAAACTGTGGTAAGGGTCTGCCCCCACTCTGATGGTAATCCCTTGCAAATCCCACTGCTTTTGATGGGGTTAGAAACAGACCAGGTGTGGGTTTGTGGGGCGGTTGTCACAAGCTGTCCAGATGGGTATGGAGGTGATGGTGCTGGCAGCAGGTTTTGAGAGTGACAGGGTTGCAAAGAGCCAAAGAAAAGGGCCTGGCCAGGCCACACCAGGACTCATGGACAGGAACCAGAGCTTAAATCCTGTTCAAAAGATGGAATTTTGTGGTAGTTCCCAATACATCTCCTCCTAGTATGATGAAGGACTCCATAAGACAGTTTTTAGAGAGTGAATGGTAATGCAGTTTTTCAAGTAATTGCAGTAGGAGGAAGCAGAGATGATATAAACACATTCCTGTAGTGTGACAATTTTTCAGTAGGATTCAGAGGAACCAGCCTTGATTTTAGAAGTAAAGGTTCAAGATATGCAGACATGTACAGTAAAGTAGATTTTTTGTGTATTTTACCTTCTAAAATGTGTGAATAGTGTAAGAACCAATAAGGAAAACTGAGGAAGGACAACACAACCCACAAATGTCATCTTCCAATCTTCAGTGTTGAAAGAAACTCTTACTTGTTGAAGTAGTCGCCTCAGCTCTTTGTGTGAACAAGGACTGCATCCTAAATTCAAGTTTTGTGTTGCAAATCTCTTCTCACATCAGCATTTCTGTTTCAATCAATGGGACAACTCGTATGAGTAAGAACTACTCATGTGAATAAATTATGAAAGGTTTTATAAGACCAGGCTCTTTGATTGTCATGGCAACAGATTTATTAGGCTTCAGGCATGATTTGTGTTTCCCTTCTAAACAAAACCATTTTTTCTTTTACCCATGTGAATCCTTTTGCCTTGTAATTAGGACAAGAAAAATAGGTTAGTTATGTTCTTAAAGATCATGCAACTGTACAGATACATTGTTAGTGAAGAATTACCAGAGTATGCAAAATTTACTTTTATTAGTGGTCTCCAAATCCGAGAGAAGTGTAGTCTTACTGGAATAATTCATTACCTTATTTATTTTTGTGACAGTATTAACATTGCTACTAGGTATTGTCAATTCTTCCGGCAACTCATTAAAAAAAAAAATCCTTTAAAATATCACTGATCTTGTAAAAGTACTCACTATTATTAGGCTCAAGGATGCTTACCATATTTCTGCTACTTCAAATATGTTCATTTTTTAGTTAATATATGATGTTTAGCTCTTTACTTGATCCAGGAACATATTTATCTTTAGGGTATAGAAACACAATATGAAGTCGTAATTATAGTAAACTTTCTACAGAAGATAGATATATATTGAAATAGGAGGCATTAAAACATTTGAATTTTCTTTCCCTGTACAGTTTTGCCTACTTATGAGTGTCTATGTTATGAGGATATATATTGCATAACAAGCAATATTTCCTTCATAATAATTTGAAAAGAACAGTTCCTTTTCAGAATACAATGCATAGGATTTGTTTTTTGCGCTAGGTTATGCATTATGGAAGAAAGAAAAATGTTAGAAAAAGCAAGCATAGCAACCTTTAAAGTGTATCCAGAACACTAATGCAGCAATACGTTTGTTGGTTTCTTTTTGCCCTATGTTAGCAACACATATATAGAAAGAATAGTGGAATATGTTCTGAAGAATGCGTGATCTTGAGAGAGAAGGTTTTGCACAATACAGGGTATTTGTTGTCTTTAGCAGACATTTCTGTCAATGATTTACTGTGACTTAGAACTCTAGTGATATTTTTAATCATTTACTTTAAACATTTGCATGACAGTTGTATTTGTCTTTCTCTGTCAATTCTAAAGCCAAGCAAAATTAATAATTTCCTTTTCTTTTAAGATACTATTTAATAAAGGTTTAATGCTGAAAATATGTATTTAATTTCAGTCTGTTGAACTGTTTCTTTGGATAAACCATGTGAATTAGAGCTTGAACCATCTGCATTATCTGGGAGGTTATACTGAACGGTACTTTCCACACTTGCAGTAACTATTTCTGGTCAAGAAAAATGTACTTTAGTAATACAACACATAAACAGTTCCTGTACTCATAATACCTTGAGCTGTTTTGATTCAAGGTCCAGAAAAAAACTAATTTTTGGAAGGCCTGCAAAAAAATCCAAAACAAAATCAAATGAGTCTTAAACTTTTGTTGCTTAAACAAAAATAGCCGCAGAAAGGATATTTCTCTGACAAGAAATTTCAGTAGATCAGCATCTGTGTTTTTCATAAACCAGGATAAAAAACTGAAAAAGCATAATGCTTTTAAAAAACAAAAACCTGTAAAAATCTATGTGTATGGAAATGCTGATTTCAAAATTACCCAGCATTTCATTTTAATATTTTTAATCAGACTTTCATTTGTTACAAGAAATTGTACTGATATCAGTGTATCTGTTTTTCTCAGTGAAAACTTGCAACACTTTTAAAATATTTTTTTTTTTACAGGGGAATGTTTTGTTGTATATTTTTGAACTAGATCTGTTATAGCTGTCCCATTATTTATTGTCTCTCACAGGTCAGCTCTAATTAGAAGTTCTCTGAAGAACCGTCTTTAGCGCTATGTATTGTATAGCCCTGTATTACTGATACTGAACAGCAGTTCTTACCAGGTCTATGGAAGACATAAGCTCTGATTGCAATTCCCTCCTTTAATTCTTCTTGTGTCTTCAACAAAAAGCAGGCCTCCATTTTGCTGAGAGTTTTACAGATACCAGAAGAAGTAGTTTCTACTGCAAAAACCTCTAAGAGGCCTTCGAGAGGCATGCAGGCAAGGAGTAGAATTAATCGAGTATTAATATCCTTATTAAAAAGATAAGGAACTGGGGAACAAAGAAACTGCCCAAAGCTATACTGGCAAGGGAAGAGTTTGGAACTGAACCCAAATGTCCTTATTCTCAGTTCACCACTGTCCCTGAAAGGTTGCTCTTCATTTTGGTCTTTTTTTTTCTTTTTTTTTTTTTTTTTTTCGCTTAATGACTTGCGTTTGGACTTTTAAGTTAATACTAGTTGAAGTATCAAATGTGAAAGGGAATTATTGATGCGTACTTCCTTTCCAGTCTGACACGGTTGTCCTAAAAATCATTTTTTATCTTCTGAGACATTCTGTTTGAATGTAACCATTAATTATGTAATTTCTTTACTACACAGGGGATGTATATCCTAGATTAAACAGAAGATTACTAAATAGAAATATCCTAAACATGCCATACAGGTTCTGGGGGATGTACATGTGTATCTGTTTAAGCTGTCAGGGTTTAGGGATAGATGTGGGGGTGTGTAATGGTTTTGAGGTCTCTTGGTAAATTAATCAAACTTCAACACAGAAAAAAAATCCAGTTAAAACATAAAAAGACTGATTATTTGCTATCTAGAATTCACACAGGAAATTATGAATCCAGCACTTGTGTGCAAAAAAGATGACACAGAGAATATTGTACCTAACAGTGATTCTTATTAACCCTGGTATGCCTCCTCTGTCCAAGGTAATCTTTCAGCTGTTTTTCCTCTTTATGAAAAAGGTAAAGACAGGTTGTACAAAAAGTACTCAGCTGCTAAAATTACATCTGATGTTGGGGAAAAAATCTGCCTTGGCATCTTAATACAAATGCAAGAAAATTTTGTACATGTTGAGAAGGAAAAAAAGCTTTGTGCAAATGTGCATGTTTTGGAATGAGTTCTGCAGCAGAATATCCCAGAAACTTAAGAGGTATCTGCCTCACTCTGGTATTCTTACACAGCTCCAGGTATGACACACCTCTGGATGCTGACAGGTACCGTACTTACACAATTA